ACATTTCACCCTTTGACTCTTCATTATTATATGGGATGGAGGTTTATGACCAAGCAGGCAGCCACTCCGTTTCCCCATAGTGATACGTCTAGCCGCCCAGAATTATCCCACAGTGGGTGTGTCAGCCCACTAGGCAAACCAGTATCATCTCTCTTCCTTTAAGGAGAAGAAATTGGTCCAGACCTTAAAAAAATTCAGCTAGGGGGTTATAAGTCTGTAAAAGAGTGAGAAGTCTCCACCCCCACCCCCAACCTAGCGCTAGATTTATCCCCTCACTGCTGTCCAGGTCATAAATCCCTTGGTAGGCACAAACGGCAGGGTAGGGGCAGGCAGTCAGATGATGGATCTTCATAACCCTCCCTGCCGCTTCCAGGAATTTACCCTAAGAAGAAATTGGGACAAGTGGATGAAGATATATGCATAAGAAGAATCACGGCAGCATTTTAACACAATCCAAAAATCCCTAAAAAGTCCAGAAAGTGTTTTTAAAAATTCAGCACCAAAATCCGTTTAGAGGCAACATCTACATGAAACTGATGTGAGGTTATATGTTTTCTTTATGTCACTGTACATGATTAGTCATCTGTCACTTCAGAAACATCACTGTTGCACTTTGGGAGGCCGAGGCGGGTGGATCACGAGGTCAAGAGATCGAGACCATCCTGGTCAGCATGGTGAAACCCCGTCTCTACTAAAAATACAAAAAATTAGCTGGGCATGGTGGCGCGTGCCTGTAGTCCCAGCTACTCAGGAGGCTGAGGCAGGAGAACTGCCTGAACCCAGGAGGCGGAGGTTGCGGTGAGCCGAGATCACGCCATTGCACTCCAGCCTGGGTGACAAGAGCGAAACTCCGTCTCAAAAAAAAAAAAAAAAGAAAAGAAAAGAAACATCACTGTGTCACCCATGGTGCTGCCCAGACCCCACAGGGTCAGAGGTCACACATAACATACTCACCATATGATTTCTAAACTCTGAAAAATTCTCAATTCTGAAGCCAACAGGCTCCACGGATCTTGGATAAAGGATGGTAAGCCCATGATAGTGAAGAATCAGAGATAACCCAAATGTCCACCAACAAGTGACTAGTTAAAGACACACGGTAATCCACAGAATGAAATTCTGTGAGGCCATTAAAAGCCAGAGAGATGCACACTTATTGAAAATGAGTGTATGGTATAAAGTGAAATGGAAAAAGCAGGTGACAGACTAGCATACATGTCTGATCTAAATAATAAAAGACACCCAGATCCGGCTTCGTGTGCAAACGTGGAGAGGAACGACGGGAAGGGTAAGCACCCAGATGCCAGCAGTGCTCATCTCCGGGGCGGGGCTTTACCCTTTTTGTCTACACTTCTGCTACAGCTTTTCTTTTTAACATGAGCCGGTATAACCTAATAACCAGTAGGAAATACACAAACAAGAATGATGCTTTCAATTAAACAAAACCGAAGCTTCCCTGAAAGGGCGTCAGCGTACAGGCCCCATTCAGAGACCACACAGAAGTGGGATAGGGGCACGGCAGAGCGCACACTGGCACACGGAGCCCAGCAGCATGTAGCAAGCAGCCTCCATTGCTTGGCGGAAAGCTGGTAACAATTTGTGTCCCACGGCTGACTCCTCTATCCCCACAACAGGACCACAGGGCCACATCTTTTAAGCAGAGCTCACCTTCCCCTGTGAACAACCATATATTCTCATGAGAGATCGATTTCAACCTTGGGTTATATTAACAGAGGTTGAGCATTCAGAGGGAGGGAGAATGTAACAATTAAGAGTTCAGGTTCAGGACATAGGTGTTGGCTTGGGTGATAGCCCCAGACTTACCACTGACTAGCTGTGTATCTACCAGAAGTTCTTTAACCTCTCTGTGCTTCAATTTGCTCCTTTGTAAAATGGGGCTAAATAACAACTCCCATGCTGTAAGTAGGTTGTGAAAATTAAACAAGTAGATTAAAAAAAAAAAAAGCAGCACTCAGTGCATAGTGACATTCAATACATAGTAATGACCTCCACTGTCATTTTGCATACTGGTCACACCAAGCTTGCAGCTGTGTGGTCAGATCTAGGAGTGAGCGTTTAAGAGGAATAAAGGCCACAGCCAAGGGAGAGATGCCGGATGGGAAAGCAGTCCAGATGACGTCATGTGGGAAAGTAGTCCAGATGACGTCATGTGGGAAAGCAGTCCAGATGACGTCATGTGAGAAAGCAGTCCAGATGACGTCATGTGGGAAAGCAGTCCAGATGACGTCATGTGAGAAAGCAGTCCAGATGACGTCATGTGGGAAAGCAGTCCAGATGACGTCATGTGAGAAAGCAGTCCAGATGACGTCATGTGGGAAAGCAGTCCAGATTACGTCATGTGGGAAAGCAGTCCAGATGACGTCATGTGGGAAACAAGGGAGCTTGGGAGGAAGCACGTGTGGAGGAAAATGATCACTATCTTCTAATCCCTGACAGATCAATTTCAACCTTGGGCTATATGAACAGAGGCTGAGCATCCAGCAGGAGGGAGAATGTAAGAATTAAGAGTTCAGGTTCCGGACATGAGCGTTTGCTTGGGTGGTAGTCCCAGACTTACCACTGACTAGCCTCAATGGCTATTCTCAGCTGCTCTGAGGTGACCATTTCTATACACACAGACTTACTTTGGTCTTCTCCAATGAACTCCTTAGAAGAAATTCCATAGACAAGAAGCACCATGGTCATCCATCACCCTGACCTGGACTTTATTATGAGCAAAAACCAAGCAGTAGAAGCTAGAAGGTAGCTTCCCACTGCAGAGAAGGAAAAACTTTCCAATAGTGAGAATGGGCTTCCATAAGAGGTAGTGAGCTCCTTGTCAGTGGAGGTATTCAAGCAGAGGTTGAAAAGCTCTTAGCAGAGCATCTAAACGGTCAATGCTCTGAAGGATAGTGAAAGTGAGAATCTATGAATTGCTTTAATTCAATGCTGCTGTCCCTCAAACAGGGTTGGAAGCCCTTTTAGAACTTCCCATGGGTTCAATAGCACATGCCTTTGAGTAGACCCAAGAGTGCTATGCTAGCTCTTCAACCCACGAGGGTGGTTTTAATTGAGAGGAAAGAGCTTTCAGGTTGCTTAGCACCAAGTCTGGGGGTGTTAAATCAGACAGCCTCGTTCTGTGCTGTGAAGTAACAGGTCTGTTTCCCTGCTTCCTTGGTAAACTCACTCGGGACAAGTCATACTCTAAACTGCCTAGTCCTGTTCATCAAATGCCGCCTTCATTCCATCTCTTCCATTAGGCTGGAAATCCTGAAAAGGCCCAGACCATGTCTAAAAAACCGTCCAGGGCCCTCTCCACGGCCCAGTCCAGCTCTGAGCATAGAGTGAGTATTAAATACACTTGCTGTCATTGGTGATTTCCGTACACTCGGGGCCTCAGGGGACTCTGGCTGTATTTCACCCTCCAATAGGCTGCCCTCAGCGTTAGAATCCAGCAGCAGCAGGCAGACCCATCCCAGCAGGGCTGACCTAATCCAAGTCAGATATTCCCTCCTCGAAGATTTCTTGTAAGCGAAGTTACCCAAAACAAAACTCAGATAGGCAAGGAAAAGCCCAGACATTTTACCCATCGTGTTTTTGCAGCTCAAGTCCACAGAAAGACTGGTTGGACATCTCCCTTTATTTAGCTCACCCACGCCTCAGTTTACCTTTCATCGCCTGGCCCTGTTTCGCAGTCATGGCTTACTCAAAACAGGACAAGTAGAAGGAGAAGGCCACTGTGGTCACTGGAGATCCCAATACGCCGGGGGGTTTCTTGGGAACCTCAGACAGATCATGGACTCCCTGAGCCAAGATAATCACCCAGGCTCAAAACGCAACCACATACTGGCTTTGGCCAGAACGTTCTCATACGCTGTGTAGACAGAGAGGCTCCAGTCAAGGCCTTTGGGGGGAAAAAATAACTAGATGTTTCCACCGCAGCAGAGAGAGTAGAAAAGGGCAACGCGCCACACTGGCTAACACGGACCCAACCTTCTCCTGAGTTTTCATAACCATGGTAGTCAGGTATGGGAGGGGGAACGTGGAGGTGGCTCCCCAAGACGGGCTTAGATCCCTAGTGGAGCTGCTTGGCTGTGTTATCTACTCAGGTCACCATGAGAAGACTCCACTCCAACTCAAAGCAAGAAGAAATTTGAGATTCAACCTTAGTCAAGGCCTCTCTGAAAATCAATTAAGACCATGATACTAACCAACCCTTGAACGCATAATGTGCCAATGGATAGGTGGTCATCTGCAAATATCTGGGGGCAATAAACCAGAGGAGAAGGAGGATTCATCTTCAACCGGGTTCTTGGCAGAGAATTCCCTGGACAGCTGCCAGGTACGCCCCACCCTCTCGGTGGCCAACTCCACAGTAGAGACAATGCACCATGCCACTGTGGGTCACTGGGCCAGCCTCGAGAACATCGCCTCACCCCAAGCTCAGTAGGAAGGCTTCCCTGGAGACGATGAACCATCTACCCACAAAAATGTAGGAACACAAGGACCTGCCCCCCACGAGTGTCCTGTTCTAATTCTGGGGACACAGGGATATCCTAATGCCCACCCGTCTCATAGATCAGTTCCCCTGAGCTTCTGTGGGTGCTCACAAAACTGAGTGCTTGGACCAGTGAACCTGGGGACCAGGGCTGGACAATGGTGACCTCCTGGGTGTGTACTCCTGGGCACTGGGTCAATTTTACATCAACCATCAAAGACCATATCTAGACACGTTCCATCAAAAGTCAGAGTGGTCCAGACGACCCGACAATTCTCTATATACACAACATGCGATGCCCCCCAGAGCCCCACAAATCAGCATCCCTCCAGCGCCACATGTTTTCACTGCAGGTGTACCCCCTCCTGATGTTCGCAGAGACTCAGGCAGCCCATCCCAAGTTACCCCAGCACAACACAAAAATGTAGCAGGCACACACCACAGCCCACCCCCTCCCAAGTCAGAGCCGGGGGGCCTCCTGACCCCCAAACCCCAGACTCACCGCTGGAACAGTCGGGCCCTCCCCAGCCGGGCTCGCAGTGGCAGGTGTCCGGGGAAACGCAGCGGCCGTGCACACACTCCTCCGTACACAGGGCTGAGGGGACACGGGGAGAGAGAGGAAGAACCAGAACAAACAGTGAAAACCAACCATCTGGTCAAGGAGCATAATCTATTTTGTCACAACTCCCTGGTGCCCAGGGACGCTCAGAACGCATCACCAGCTTGGGGGAAAATCAAGCTACACCTGACCTGAGTCATTTAATTAACTCCAGAATGCATCCTGTAAGCGTACATTTCATCCCAGCCTCATTTCCTAAAACCAAACTCCAAGCTAGAGAAGCGGTAACTTTGATGGCTTTTCGAGAACATTTCCTCCAACATTGAACAGCAGAGACCTCCGCAAACCTCAGCCCCTAAATCCACACCCCTGCTCTCTTTCCCCATCTGTTCAGGAAATGACCGGTCCCTTGCATCTTGTGCTTTCTCCAGTTTCCTTCTGTAGAGGCCCCAAAACGTATCAGCCTGCCTGAAAAGAAGGTCCCTTCCAACTTTCCCCCCACCTTTCTGCCCTCCTCCCCAAATGTCCCTATTTTGGGGCTCTCAAATGTCAGCAAATCTGCAAAGTACACACACGCAGAGGAAGAAAAGCAACAGCTAATTATAAAAAAGTAATTAAGAAAGACATCCACGATGATGATAATTGTAATTAGAAAGTAGCTGGCAGTTTCTTGTCACGCAGTTGAATGCTGCAGCCTCCTGAGGTGGGAGGTGACAGCGGCAGGCAGTTTCCCTCAACCACTCTGCTGCTGGGGCTTATTGACAGCAGTTTGAGGAAGGGAAATTATTCTCTTCCTTTGACAGAATCCACATTTCCTCAAGGTCATCTTTTGCTCCTGAAAGATCTGCCCCACCATCTAAGCCATCAGCGAAGGATTACAGAAAGCCCCCATGTGCCGCCCTCACCAAGTCTGAAAGCCCAGGGAATCAGCAGCTCCCATCAACGCTGTCAATTTCTTAGACGGGATCTAGATGAAGGATTTTTTTTTTTTTTTCCCCTGAAAGCAAGAGACTTCTCTCTGCCCAGTACTGGCCTGGGCTAGAGGAGCAGATGGCCCGCTTTGGTGGCCTCCCACCCACTGCCTGGCCTAAACGCCCTCTGGGAAGGTGCTGGGTTAGACAACAAGGCTCATTTTATGGCTGGTGTGATCCTCTGGCCCTTCCTAAGCACAGAAGCCGACCCTGAAGCTGCTGCCTTAGCGGTGCCCAGGCCTCCCGGTAAGACAGACCCCAGAAGAGCCATTTCAGATGCCCCACTGGTCCACGGTCTGGAGTCAGCCTGTCCATTGCAAGCCTGGGATGTGATGTGTCTGGAGATCCCTAGTACCTGGGACCTTCTGATTGCTACAAGTAGCCTTCAGGGAGGGTTGTGGTACTTCTCCTGTGCTGGAGCCCTGCTCCCTTGCAGCCCTGGGAAGTGGCTAGCCCAGTGCTGGAGAACCCACTGGGCCTTGATTCGGGGGGCGAGCTCCCCTTAAAACCACAATGTGCTGCTCATGTGGCAGCTAGCAAGACCGTCGCTCCTGCTGTCCAGGCTTCCCCTGTTCCCACTGGATTTTCCAAACAACCTCAAATGGGCCAATGCCCCCAGGACACACCAGTGTCCATCCCCTGGCTCCCCATGGGATGCCAGTCCCTTGGCCCAGCCAGCTCCCAGCCCTGGCCTCAGCTACTCCCTCTCCCTCATCCCCAGCCCCAGAGGCTGAGATCCCCGCAGGCTCTGCAGCTGGGCCCATCTGTGTTACAGCTCGTCACATGAGCTCAATGACTCCGCCAACTGCTTGCTGACTGCAGAGAGCAGGACCTTCATCCCTGGGATCTCTGCCAAGGGGGCTGAAATCAAGCAGTGACTTGCAAACCTGCCGAGCGTCAGGGCTCGAAGAGACCTCAGACAAAATCATGCCCTGGCCCTTTGTGTTCTACCCGGAGAAGCTGAGGCATGAGGTTCATAGCCCCTTGGGCAGTGTGTGGCCTCTCAGCCAGGGAGGAAGAAGCTTGGGGTTGGGGGGTGCTCCTGGAGACAGAGGCCTCTGAAGATGGAGACAGCCCAAGGCTGTGGGGCCTTCACATTTTGCTCATGCTGGACATCCTCCCCTGCCCACATGGCTCAGGGGCTGGCGGCGGGGCAATTCCAGAGGGAACAGCAGAGGGGTGCTGTGACAGGCCCCCAAGAGGGTCAGTGGTGACCAGAGACAGAGGGCGGAGGAGCTGCTTCAACATGCTCAGCGCCATGCAGGTTAGGGACAGGGTGGAGGGCGGGCAATTTGAGAAGACAGACCACCCAGTGACCTGCGTGCCCCTGTCCCGCCCCTAGAGACCCAGCCCATCCGCCTGTCTCCTGCGCCCTCTCCAAGCTGGGAGAGAAGGGCCTTCTGGTGCTCTAAACAAGCTCCACACTGCACTGCCTTTTCCGTCAGTCTCTTCCCGAAGCCCCAGAGACCTGCAGGACAGTCTGTGGAGCACCGTCCCCCACACTGCCGACACGGACCCCAGCTCAGCCCTGTGTCCAGCCCCCGGACCTGGTGAGGACACTGCTGAGGCAGCAGCTTCGGAGTCAGCATCTATGCTATGCTTGGAGGACGGCCTCCCCACAATCCCTTAGCTTGGCCCCAGGATGCAAGTGCGTCTCCCTCCCTCCCTCATCGTCCTGGTATTTTGCCTGCACTATTTGCTTGTCAAAACCTCAATCCATTCATATTTCATAGGTGTTGTTTAGACAGTGTTGTTTGAAGCATGAAATATTGGTAGCAAATACCTGAGGCTCAGACTGCCACATTTGGCAATTGGGCCACTGTGTGTTTGGACACCCAGTGGGGAGGGGCCCGGGGTGCTGCGGGGGGAGTCTCCCAGGGAGGAGGGAGGCGGCCATCCCTGGCGCTGGGGGGGGAGTGACTCCTATGCCAGCAGCTGGCAGCCTCTCTCCAGAGGCCTGGGGTTACTCAGCGGCTGCTCCTAGAGCGTGTGGGTCCCCTAAGCTCTTTCAGATGGCAGACCCCACGGCAGTGACTGGCTGGGAGGGGTTGGGTTAGGGTGCTGCCACCTTGGCCGCCTCCTTGGGAACTTACAACTCTAAACAGGGCATTTTGTCAAGTCCCTCTTCACACTGCTGCATATCCACCTGCTGTCATGGAAAGGGGACTGGATGGGCTCTGACAGCACCAGCTGTGTGACGGGGCCAGCCACTCCTGGCCCCAACAGGAAATATGAACTGCCCTCTCACCACCTGCCTTAGTCCTGCTTCTGACCTCCCTGCGTGCTAGAAGCCTTCTCGGCAAGCAGCAGGACGTACAGGGGTTCAGAGCAGTCCGCACCCAGAACGCCGGCTCTGGCCCAGAGATGCGCCTTGGATGAGTTACCCCCATCTCCGTGTCAGCCCCATCTGTTCAGCTGGGGGACAGTGGCAGGATGAGCCTCACAGGCTGTGTGAGGACTGATGAGTTGATCAAGTGCCCAGAGCAGATCAACTGAAAATGCCATGTAGAAAATGCCATGTGAACCCTGCTGTTAGCAGTCTCCTAGGCCCTGGGTACAGGCTCCTCATGAGGCCCAAGCCTCCTGCACCCTCCACTCCCTCCCGCCCTTCACTGAGGTCCTGACCACATGACGGGTGGTCTGCAGGGACCTGCGGACGGATCCCTGGTTGGGGCAGTGCGGCTGGAGGGCAGCGCCATCCCCAGCCCTGGCAGGAGAGGCCAAGGCGGTAGACGTTGTGATGACCTAAGTTTAAATTCCACATCTGCCAGTGACAATTACAGGATAATAAACAATTAACCTTTCATGCCTCAGCTTTTCCCTCTGTACAATGGGACAACAACAGTGCCTACTTTGTGGGTTGCTGCAAGGATTAAAATGAAATAAAACATGTAAACTTCTTACACCAATGCCTGGCACGTAGGCACATAGCAAGTACTCAATACGCACGTGATGCGATCGCCATTTCTCTCTCTCTCTCCCTGTCCACACACACACACACACACACTCGCTGTGGGTTGTGGACTCAATGTCTAACACAGCTGCCAGCTGCTGCCATATGTTGCTGCTTCCTGTGCACTACCATTTTCTGAGCACCTACTACGTGCCAGGCCTTAGGGCTTTGACACACACTCCATCAGCCTCTGGCATAGGCCATCCCAGCACACACTGAGGGAGCTAACTATGTCAGCACTGCCTCTCCTTTGAGGACCTCCAGCTCCTGGGGGACAGACACTGCTTCCCACTCATCCTTTTTAAGCCCTCATGGTTTCTGGTACATAGTAGGTGCTCAATGCGTGTGAGCCCCACATCTGCCCCAGCAAAGAATACCACACAGCTCACGTGAGAAAGGCATGCTTGTTTTCCCCGAGCTCAACCTCAGAGCTCGATCACAGAGAAGTCGTCAAATCTGTGGACCTGTCCTTTGGCTCAGGCTGTTTCTGGCCCTGTGGGACCAGGGTGATCAGGGGTTGTGAGGTGGTGGTGTGGGGCTGCATTATAAATCCAGCCTTGGGTGTCAGGGGGCCCCAATTTGTGTCTACAAGCATCTCTCTCGTGATATCAGTAACTCACCATCCTCTCTGGGCCCTGCAACTTCACTGACAAATCAAGATTCAAGCAGATAAAGTTTTAAGTCCCATGGCTAAGAATGCCCTCATCTGTCCCCCGCCCACACACTCCAGGACACACCGGGACTGCCGTCATTGCTCTGGTTCCCCTTCCTGGCCCCCAAGCCCCAGCCCCTTTCTATCACAGGAACCCCTGGTGTCTTTCCTCTGCTGCTTTGGAAACGGCACTGGAGGGGGAGCCAACTCTCTGGCCTCGGCCTCTTGTCCACGAACAAGGGCCTTCCATGGCCGACATCCCTCGACGCTTCTCTCCTGACTTAGGGATGCACGGACTCCAGCGCACACCACCGTAGAGAGCCGCAGCTTGAAGCACTTCCAGCGAGCTCCCTGGCCCTGGCCACCAAAGCCGGGCACAGCCTCCACCATCCAGCCCCACCACGAAGCCAGGAAGGGTGAGGTTCCTCCAGCCACCCTATTTGCACATGAGGGACAGTGA